TCGGAGTTCGTGGAGATCTTCGCAGGTATCGGCGCCTCCCGCGTTCGAGACCTCTTCGACCAGGCAAAGAAGTCGGCACCCTGCATCATCTTCATTGATGAGATTGATGCGGTCGGCCGTCAGCGCAGCGCCGGGTTTGGCCAGGGCAACGATGAGCGAGAGCAGACGGTGAATCAGCTCTTGACATAGATGGATGGCTTCGAGGCCAACAAGGGAGTCGTGGTTATTGCGGCGACGAATCGAGCCGACATCCTAGACCAAGCCCTCGTCCGTCCTGGACGATTCGATCGTCAGATCCAGGTGGATCCTCCTGATGTTCAGGGGCGATCTGAGATCTTGAAGGTCCACGCGAAGGGCAAGAACCTGGCCGCCGGCGTGGACCTCACGGCCATCGCAAGGCAGACCCCAGGCATGTCCGGTGCAGACCTCGCAAACTTGCTGAACGAGGGCGCCATCGTCGCTGCGCGCCAGAACAAGGCGGAGATCGACTCCGACGACATCTTCAATGCATTGGAGCGCATTTCTATTGGCCTGGAGAAGAAAGACGCAGTCATGTCCGAGCAGAAGAAGAAGCTCGTGGCCTATCATGAGGCCGGTCATGCGATCCTGGGCGCTCTGATGAACGACCACGACGTCGTGGCCAAGATCAGCATCGTTCCTCGGGGCCCAGCCGGTGGCGTGACGATCTTCATGCCTTCCGAGGATAGGCTGAACTCTGGCCTCTACTCGAAGGAGTTTCTGGAGAATCGCATGTGCGTGGCGCTGGGTGGGCGCTTGGCCGAGGAGATCATCAACGGCAAGGACAATGTGACCACTGGTGCCTCCAACGACTTCCAGCAGTGCACGCAGGTCGCCAAGCAGATGGTGATGACACTTGGCATGTCGCCGGAAATTGGCCAGCGTCTCCTGGGAGGCCAGCAGGGTGGCGGTCCCTTCATGGGCCGTGACTTCATGGGACAGGGGGCTCCTCCCATGTCGCAGGCTCTGAGGCAGCAGGTGGACGCTGAGATCAAGCGCATCGTGGACGAGCAGTATCAGCGTGGCATGAAGCTCCTTCGAGACAACATGTATCTCCTTGATGAGCTCGCCAAGCTTCTCTTGGAGGAGGAGAAGGTCTCCGGCGAGCAGCTGATGAAACTGATCAACAAAGCTGCTGCAGAAGGAAAGCTTGTCATGGGCAACAGCAAGATGGCCGTGGCCGCCTACACGGGCGAGGTGACCCAGAACTCTTCGGAGGTGTCTTTGCCGCGAAAGACTCAGTGTGTACATCCGGACAAGCCCATGATGTTCGCCTGTGCCGACTGCCCTCGACGCGGCTTCTGCGGTTCGACTCGTGCTGCGCCCAGAGACGGCAAGGCTGCGCGCAGCGCCGTGGCTCGGCTGGGTCTCGCCACGCCCGAGGCGGAGAGTCGCGAGTCCACTAGCGAGGAAGTGCTGCGACGAATCAAGGGCATGGCAGCCGAGGTGTCCCCTTCCGGTGCAGCTTTGCCTGAGAGCGTGGTGAAGCATGCTGCCGTGCAGGCCTTGGCCGTTCTCGCCGCCTCGGCCGGGCCCTTGGCCGCCAAGGCGGATGACGTACCCGCTCTCCAGTCCATGGGAACCCCGCAGATGCAAATGCAGCAGCCTGGTGGGGGCCTTCAGCGGGTCTCGGGCCGCGTGACCTACTCCCGGCTCTTGGAGTTCGTGGACGAGGGCTCCGTGAAGCGAGTCGACTTTTACGACCTCGGCCGCACGGCGGTGGCCACGGTGACTGTGGCCGGCCGGGAGCAGCAGCTGGTGTGTGACCTCCCAGGTGCTACCACAGGCCTCATCGAGAAGCTGACGACCAAGGGCATCTCAATTGAGGTCCACCAGCCAGAGAAGCCGAACCCCATCTTCAACGTCTTGGGCGATGTCGCCTTCCCTTTGCTTCTGATTGCCGGACTCCTGTTTCTGCGCTCCCGTGCCCCCGGCGGTGGTGGCATTCCTGGCTTCGGCAATCAGGGCCAGGCGAAGATCATGATCACTCCCGAGACCGGCGTGAAGTTTGAAGATGTCGCCGGAATCGACGAGGCCAAGGAGGAGCTCATGGAGATCGTGGATTTTCTGAAAGCGCCGGAGAGGTTCGTGAAGGTGGGCGCGAAGATCCCTCGCGGCGTGCTGCTGACTGGCCCACCTGGCACCGGTAAGACGCTGATGGCCAAAGCTTTGGCGGGTGAGTCCGGAGTGCCTTTCATTCAGTCCTCTGCTTCGGAGTTCATCGAACTCTTCGTCGGGGTGGGTGCCTCGCGCGTGCGCGACATCTTTAGGCAGGCCAAGGAGAAGGCGCCCTGCATCGTCTTCATCGATGAGATTGATGCCATCGGAAGACAGCGCGGTGCCGGCATGGGCGGCGGCAATGACGAGCGAGAGCAGACGCTGAATCAGATCCTCACGGAGATGGACG